TGTTCTGTGCCTCAATTTAAAGGCTACACTACCTGTGGGATGCCTAGCCTGTGAACTGTGTCGCTGTAAGTTGAGATCCCTTTAAGACATCTCTGGAGCTGGGGACTGGTGGTTGGTGACCTGGCTGACAGTTGGTGACCTGCCTTGTGATTGGCTGCTGTGCTGAGATAGCCTCGCTCGCTCTCTATATAGAGGAAGACCTGGCAGTAGACTAAACTTGAAGGACTGCTAGTGTCTCACAACTCTCTCTCACGAGAGTGAGTTGCACTGAGCCATTTGTACTTCATAATTTAACTGTTCATTTCTTGTATTATATATCTATTTGTATATGATTTAACAGTTCATTTCTTGTGTTATACATCTAATTATCTTTATAAATAAATATATTAAATTATCAGCAATTTGGTTTTATCTCTCTAGAGAACCCTGTCTAACAGTTTCCAAGAGTGTAGCTGTTCACAGGAGCAGGACGCCCAGTCTTTCTCCTGTGGAGGTGCTGGTGGTTTTGCACTGCCGGCCATTCAGATAGCAGCCCAACAAGTTCCCACTATACTACCAGGGCTCCTTAGGATCTTGGAAGAGTTGGAAATTTGGGACATCATTAATTTCCAATTCCTTGAAACATGTCTGGTATTAATTCTTCTAAAATAAATTATTACCATAATGGGGAACCCAGAGAGGAAGTGAGAAGAGTGTTATTATGTTGAAGATATTGCAAAACAAAATACAAATTGTTGAACAGGAAATAAATTTGCTCTATGAACTCCACCCAAACCACAGTAAAACATTATTAAAAAAATCCTTACAGCCAAATCTAATAGAATACCAACACCAAACTCGCTGCCATCCAGCCATCTCAGCGGCTTCCGGTGGGTTTCTGAAACTGTAAGTGTTTGCAGGAGTAGAAAGCCCAGTCTTTCTTCTGGGGAGCTGCTGGTGGTTTCCAACTGCCGACCATGTGGATCGTAGCCCAACTCATAACCACTACACCACCAGGACTACTAAAGACAACGTCATTTCATAAATAAACAGAAACAAATTAGCATATTTGACTGTTTTTATATTTGCTGTTTTGATACATCGATGACCTTTATTAATTCATGCAATAACTTGGATACCAACCATGTGTCAGAAGTTTTCACAGTGCAACAGATACAAGTACAAGAAAGGACGTTCTCTAAGGAAGTCAAACCATGAATATATAAGCGTATAAGGAAATCAAAGGATAGATGAAAATACACATTTACCCGGAGATAAACATGATTTAATGGAATGCTGTTGTGTAGTTCAACCCTTTTTCAAAAATTGATTTTGGAAGTTTGTGAAAGATTTGTTTTATAGCCAGACAAGGTATTACTGAAAAAATAAATAGCTTAGATATTTATCAAATCCAGTAATTTATCATTTTAACTATTGTACCCATCAATGTGATGAGTAGTCCAAATTAATTATCAAGTCCTAAATAAATTTCTTGAATTTCAAACTTCTGAAACCATTATATTTCTTTTGAATCTGTCATTTTCTCCAAAGTAATAAAAATGTAAAATCTCATAATGATTAGACTACATAAAAGAAACCATTTAATTGAAACTTAATATGTTTCTTAAACATAAAACTTCAGGAATGAAAAGGGTTTTGTCGTTCAATTAGGACAGTCTAGCATCGTCACCAAGGCAACCAGCTGTTGTCATGTTTAGAGGAGAGGGCACTTACGAGCAGGCAACCGATCGTCGGTGGGTCCACTTAGAAGAATCTGTGATTCAGATTTAAAATATTTTATTAGACAATATCTTTAGATTCAATTTAATATTGAATACAGCTGAACATTCATGAATGAGGAAATGGGATATATGGAATCTACATTTTTTTATATGAACATTTGGAAATGTTGCTAATAATTTGAAATCTGACATTTTCAGATAATTATATTCTTCCTTAGCTTATGGACAATAAAGTCCAAAAAATTGAAATTATTGTTGCTTCCATATGATCATAAGCAATCTCTCTAGGAAAAAGCATGAAGAGGGAACAGGGATCATGGTTAACATTTACTTTGCATTATTTCCATTTTTCATTGTTCATTATGGTAGTTGCATATCAAGTATGAAAAAAAAGGTCACTGCCATAAAGTTGATTCTGACTCATAGCGCACCTACCTATACGACAAGATAGAGCTGTCCTTGAGGGTTTCTGAGAGTTAATTCTTTAAGGGAATACAAAACCTGTCTTTCTCCTGCGGTGTGGCTGGTGGTTTCCAGCTGCTTGCGGACTTTGCAGTTAGCAGGCCAACGCATTACCCACTACATCACTAGGGCTCCCTGGTTTTCAAGTTTTAGGGCTGTGCATACGATTTCCGATTTAAACCTCTACCCTAACAAAAGAAGAGTTACCTGATCCATTTTTAGGAGATTTGATGAAATCCTCCTCCTCATCACAGCTATCGCAGTTTACTTGTTGGAGGGCTGGTTCTGACTGATTTTCACCTTGATGTACTTCTCTCTGTTTAGAGAAGCTTCGAAGTGCAACAAGCCGATGATGCATTGCTGCGTACAGATATCCTATGTCTTTGGCACTGGCCTGCATGATGAAAATTAACTGATTAAGAATATAAATCACCAAAAAAAATTTTTTTAAAAGAATAGATATCACTTCACAATATTAGCCATGTTGTACAACATTTTAGTTTTTCATTATTCACAAGAAAGATTAGAGCCGTTGGTGGTTGTGAACTGCTGACCATGAGGATCACAGCCCAACATGTAACCACTACACCACCAAGTCTTCTTGTATAAGTCTAGAATGTAATAAATGCTAACAGCCCTGCAAATTAAGAGGTAAAAGATCAATTCATCTGGAATCAAATTGTATTCCAAAGAAATAATTTCATAAGAGGTTTCAATGTTTGCCTTTTAAATCAAGAAAATAAAATTTCATATTTAAACACTTTAGTTTTATTTGAATGTAAGTTTTTGTTGCTGGCACTTCATTATCCATAAAGTAAGGATTGCACAAATATATGCATAACATTCATACTCCTTTCAATTCCCATGGTAAATCTTGAAGAATAAAACCCCAGAGCAAAGAGATTTAAAAAGTCAACAAGGGAAACAAAACTTAAAGAATGTGCTCAATGATTTTTTAGGAAGCAGGTTCTTAAGGAATAGACATTCAGGGATGTGATAAATCTACTTTGCATTGGAGAGAAAAGTCTTAATTGACTAAAATAATAGTGCATGCCATCTCCATCTGAAGGGATTTGCTTCATAATTTTATTGCTTGGCTTCAACAAGATTTAGGTTGAAATTTGTTAACTAGTAAATGCAATAGGACTGGCCTCACTCCACCAATTTACACTGCAGAAACATAGGATTGGGAGGTAAAAAGACTTCCATTTTGTTTATATCACATTGCTTAGGCAATCCCTCCAGGCCAGGGTGTTGTATGAAGAAGCAGAACTCGTGAGAACAGTCTGTGATATTACACCGCTGACATGCTAGAAGTCCTTTCTCCCAGTACTTTTCTATGCTATGTCTGTGGTTGCTAGCAATATAAAACACGACCCTAACCATAGCTGATATTGGAATCATAATTATTGTTATCATGTTCTTTTTTCCCCAATCCTTACAAGAAAACTGTGCTTTAATTATCCATCCTCTTTATATTCCCTTAAACACTAAGCACCAGTATTCAATATAGAATCACTCTGCTCCTCTGTTTACTTGAGAAAATAATGACTTGCCCAAATTTAACATGGATGCCCACGGAGAATTTCTTGCAGCTTCTTTGCAAGAGTGAAACTTAATAAATTGCTTATGCATTTAATAAAGTGAGGTCGATATAATCGAATATAAATAATAGAATATATTTCTTTTCAGCTACTAAGGTAATTTTTGAAGAACAAAAACTTCAATGGCATGAAAAATCTTATTAACATTGACAAATGAAAAAATTACATGTGTATTTCATAATAACAAATTGCCTATTTAATCATTTCTACAGCCTTTTACTGCATAATTGCTACTACCTTGATTTTGTAGATGAGTGAGTAAAAGGAGGGTAAGGAAGTTTAAGTGACTTGCTTGAAAGGCCATACCATAAGTACAGGATGGTAGGTATGTATGTAAGTATATTTACACCCACATACATACACATAAAAATAGGTGTGGTTAGCTGCTGTTGAGTCGACACCTCACTTCTGGTGCCTCATGCATAACAGAGCAACACACTGCCCGGTCCTGTGCCACCCTCATGCTTGGTCTTGGATCAGACATTTCATTGGCTGATTTTAGAAAACAGACTGCCCGGCATTTCATCTTAGTTGATCTCAGTCTGGAAGCCCCATTGAAACCTGTTCAGGCTCATAACGACACACAAGTTTCTCCTGACAGATGGGTGCTATCTGCACATTAGGGGCATTGGCCAGGAATGGAGCCTGCTTTCCTCCAAGGTAATTGTGAAAGAAATTTTTTAAAACAGAAATATTGTGTAAGACCAAAATGTTAATATTGGTCATCTGTAGAGGTATGGTTTTGCTTATCTCTATTTTATAAATAAAGATACATATCCCTTTAAAAAATCACCGTGAGTCAGATACTCAGCGACAGAGTAGTATAATCATAACTCAGTGTCTAGCAGGCTTCTTTCTCCACTAAAAATCAGGGGGAACCTCACCTGGCAGAATATCAAGTATCATCTCCCTAAATAGCAAACAGAATTTGGGGATCATCTTACAACTAACATCTAAATGCCCAACATGACTTCCACCTAACAGCATACTTACTGGTAGTTAATCAAACCTTTGTTTTCTCATCAATAGCCATTGCTCACCAGTACCAATTCTATGGGAGCCAATTTCCTTGCATTGTCACTTCTGCCTGAGACACTTGGGGACACAGTCTTCTCCAGTCTTCTGGAGCCTTTTCTCTTTCCTTTTGGCCTCATTCCTGCCAGTTCAGTCTCTGTCTGGATCTTGCGTTTCAGGTCAAGCATTCCTGCTTCTGCGAACAGCTAAATCTGTGCTCCCATCCTGTTACCTTGGCGACCGATTCATGCCCAGAATTGGAATCTGCTCTTACCCCTTGGACTGGTGGTTTTAACTTGCTAGCCCTGTGTTTTTCCATTCCTCACTGGTTGCTTTCCAGGCCCCTCAAAGCCTTCTCTGTCTCAAGCATCAGGCGGTGGATTCCGCTGGCCCCCTCGTGGGAGCCATGCTTGACAATAGTCACTTCATTAACTTAGTGAACGTGTTGACATGATTTCATTAGGGAAGGAAGGGGTAGCGGCTTGACAATATATATCATACAGATGTCTTGGAATTGGTACCAATTCTTTTACTGTGGTTTTTGAGGTTACTTTTTGAATTCCATATAAATTGGGGTCTTAGATTAGACCCCATAATGAATGGCTGATATTTTGCCAATGGCACAAGTTATGTAAGACATTGGGAGAAAGAAAAAAAAAGGACCAAATGAGTAAATTACAGAGACCTATAAATATCGTGGGAGGTTTGGTGGCACTATGGTAAACTGCTTGGTTGGCGGCCACCAACTGCTCCGCAGGAGAAAGAGGAGGGAATCTGCTATCGTAAAGATTTCGAGCCTTGGAAACCCTCGGGGTCTACTCTATCCTCTGGGGTCTTATGAGTGGGACTCGACACGGACGCAATGGGTTAATAGATAGAGTAGGACCATCTTCTACCACTGAAATTTTTTTACTTACCTGAATTAAAAAGATTTTGATGCTGTAGTCTTCTAAGTCAGTAGCTGTTATTTGTAAGCTTTTATGGTTTGCTCTTTGTATGTCCATTTGAGCCCAGAGTTTGCTATTGAGAATCAGCCTCAGGCTGCCTTGGTTGCGCATAACTAAAATAGGAAGGTGAATAGATTAGGCTACCGGAGAGTTGAGTCCTTAATTTTCCAAGGAATTTGACATACTTGAAAGCACAGTACATCTTATAGCTATTTTTTCAGGCCGTATTTCCATGATTATAATTTAATTGTAATTAGATTATAACTCCTTTTGTATGTGTGTGTACTTTTAAAATTCTATTTGGGGTTTATTATGTTGAAGGACTTTTTTCGCTTAAATGTCAAAATTATTATTTTTACTATAATATTTTAAATGGATGAAATTTTAGAAATCTTTTTAAAAGTCTAGTGCTTTGAGAAATATTTATCTAAGAGTAATTGAAGACAATGGATAAAACTGAAATAAAACCCCTTCAGTGTCCAAAATATTAAATTATTTAAATAAATTAAAGTATAAGTAATCAAGAGAATATTATGGACCCATTAAAATATTGAAGAGTGATATTTATGAATGTAGAAAGATATTCATGGTAATACTATACTTTAAAAAAATCAAGTTATACATTTATATAGGAAAGAAAGACCAGGTTATTAAAGCAATATGAACATCACAAACTTTATAACACAACTACATGTATACATTTTTGTATACAGAGAGCAATGTCTCAAAAGAATATATTGTTAACATTGCCCAATTCTGGAGGGTAGGCATGTGAGTGATTTCCCTTTTTAATTCTTTCTGGTTATCCATATTTTTTATTTCCTACATTTAACTTATATTGCCTACGTGTATAGTAAAATAAATTGTTTGGGTGTTTTTTCCTGTCTTGTGTTTTGGCAGCAAGAGGGAGCAAAATTAAACCAGAATAGAGAACAACTAGAGCCTGCCTTGGGAATAATATCTGGCTGAACTAGTTAGAAACATTCACCAATTCCAGAACTGAGGATACTGTACCTATTCTCCTAGGCCAAAGTCTACCCCATACCTGTTTCTTGAGCTGATACTTAAAACCCCCAAAATACCCATATTTCTGGATCCAGCTTCTACCTGTGATCTCTTGCAAAGCTTTGGCCTTCCAATATTGACTCATAAACCCTAGATACCCCACCTGTGCTCATTTTCATTTTGGGCCTCTGAACAATGTCCTAGTTTGTCTTTTTGGATGGCAAACTTCTTAGTCTTTCAGCTTAACTGATTTCTGATTCTGACTATCCCTAAGAAGCCTGCAGAATCCAGTAACCATGTAACTCCCCCCCACCCTTTTCCCATAGAAACTCTTTATTCCAAACCTGATACTACATTTGGAATGCCAAAGATACATTATGGCACACCGCTTCTCTTTTACAAAAACTATTTTTACTTTACAAGATGACTTGCGTCACATTCCCTTAAGTAATAATGAGAGAGTAATTTAGATGTTTGTTAGGCTCTGTCATAGCTGCTTTGGCAGATGGAATCTTACATTCATTCAATGAGCCATGGACTCCTGAAGTTGACATTTTAGACCCGTACAAGTAGGACAGGGACAGAGATTAAGTCACTTGTCTAAGGTACAGTTAGTGGTAGAGCCAGATCTGGAACCGAAGTAGTCGGAGGTGACTTTTAACAGAGAATTTCTCTAGCACATTAGAAGCAAGACTGTTTTCAGCAGTGTGATTTATTGAAGTGTTTTATGACACGTCTCCAGAAAATGATGCATGTTCACATTGGAAATGTTACCCTGCGAAATTGAAACTTGATCGACCAAACGAGCTGAAAGCCTTACTTAGTCTCGAGTGTAATGTCCCACAATTACTGCGCGCTGTGTCGTTCAGTCTCAACGCTCCTCTGCCCCTTTCAGTCCAGGATTGTGTTGTGTTGTTGAATATAAAAAGCTTGCAGTTGATCTAGATGACAAACATTTTAAATGTTACATATATAGAAAAATTTCCAAGTGTATTCTTTCTTATGATATGAAAATTCAATATTTGTCTGCATTTTGAAAACCAGAATAACCTTTTAAAATGATATATGAACCAACTTTAAATTTTTTTAATTAAGTAATTTTATTGGGGTCTTACAGCTCTTATCACAATTCATGCATTCATCCATTGTGTCAAGGACATTTGTACGCATGTTGCCATCATTTTCAAGACGTTTTCTTTCTACTTGAGCCCTTTATATCAGCTCCTCATTTTTTCCCATCCTCCTTCCCTCATGAACCCTTAATTATAGATTATTATTTTCATATCTTACATTGTCCTCTGTCTCCCTCCACCAACTTTTCTGTTGCTTGTTCCCCTGGGAGAGGTTTATATGTAGATCCTTGTGACCGATTCCCCCTTTCTCTTCCCACTTTCTGCTTCCCCTCCTGGTGTCTCTATTCTCATCATTGGTCTTGAGGGGTTTATCTGTCCTGGATTCCCTGTGTTGCGGGCTCTTATCTGTAGCAGTGAATGTTTTGGTCCATTCACATTTGTAAGGTAGAATTGAGGTCATGTTAGTGGTGGGGAGGGAGGATGCATTAAAGAACTAGAGGACAATTGTATGCTTCATCTGTGCTATACTGCACTCCAAATTTCAAATTTTATTTCACTAAAAAACAGTAAGTAAAAAGGCATACAGAATGAAAAATTACCGCTTTGCTCCCACCACCCATCTGCTGGTGTCTGCCCCCGACTAATGAAAGTAGATGACCACTGTTATTATTAATGTGATGCTCGTATGTATAGTTGTTGGCAGTTACATTGAGTCCATTCCAACTCATGGCACTCTCATGCATGCAAAGCAGAACTGCATATATATGTATCTGCCTATTTTCCCTACAGCGAGTAGAATTTCTTACACAATCCCTGCATCTTTCTTTTTTTTTTCACTTAACAGTACATCTTTATATACCAACAATTCAATCAAACTTGGTGTTCTTTGAGTTACATAATCTTAAAGTAAATAAGGTTTATTTACTTAAAGATTTATTCATGGAACTAATTTCACATTTCAAAGAATACAACATGAGAACTAAGATACCCTGCTGTAACTCAATGCTGTCCAGTATTTCTCAAAGTTATTATCTAGGAGAACCACCACAATAGCTCCCAGATCCTCACCCAACCATTTAGTCCAGTAAGGCTGGGGATTATCTGAACTGAGGGTCATAATTGGACATACAGAAGGGAAGAATAATGAAGAGAATTTGGGGGGAAATCCAATGGATAAAGGCCAAGTAAAACTCATGCCTTGTGGGGAAATGTTGCAGTAATTACAAAAAGTTGTAATTACGGTAAAACCAGTGAGAGCTGAAATCTATGTAGAGCAGAAAACTGTCAGAGAAGGAAAACTCAAATATTTCCCACTAAATGGCACAGAAAAGTGGCCAATGCACCCTGTTAAAGGCAGAAACAAGTCCCGGGAAAACAGGGCAGTCCTGTCCTGGCTCTCCCAAAGAGGCCTGGTTCTCCCAGCCTCCAATGTACATTGACAGACCACTCCCCATTGAAAAATCCATGTCTGATACAATATCAGAAGTTTTGGATGATATAAAATGTCAAACTTATTTAAAATAATTTTGTAGAAGAAAATGACTTTAATGATCTGAAGCTGAAACCAAGTCATATGATCAATATTGAGACTGTATTGGTCTAGGTACTTTGGAGAAACAAATCCACAGCAACTCACATATAAGAGAGAGTTTTGTGCAAAGAAAATGTGCATCACGAAAACATCCCAACCCAATGCTGCCCAAGCCCACAAGTCCAACATTAACCCATACCCAACACCAGTCCACAAAGGCCTTCACCTCACAAAACAGAGGCAATAATGCCGACTGCAGGAGGAAAGCTGAGTCAGTGAACGAAGAAGCATCTCAGCACTGGCAGGGGTCTCCACACGGCTGCTCCAGCACCCAGGGCTGCATCGGGATAGATCTATGCGGCTTCTCCTTGGGGATGTCTTGTAGGAAATCCATCTTGCAAGCTGAAGCAGGGAACTGCTAAGGCAGCTGCACCCGATGCAACCATCACAAAACAAGAGACCCGAGAACTAGAAAGGCGAGGCTTCACCACCCATTTATCCCTCCGCCTTTCAACCAGACCCACATGTGATTATCGGCCAGGCTGGCACAATTAACTAACTCAAGACATTTCCACATAATCAGAATTTGTAAACCAAGCGATGACAGCATTTATTCTAAGAGCAGCTATGAAAAGTAAAAGACATAGCTCTGAAGTTATTTTAAGACAGGGTCCCTGGCTTTCTTCCTAATGTGCTCATGCAAATATCGTAAGCAGAAACTCTGTTAATTATACACTCGTACATAAGAATACCACAAAATATAGGTTTAATATTCATAATACTACAACATTTATATTTAAGCAGCTTAGTCTTCATGAGAACTGTATTGCCTTCTTCATTTTTAAAGCTGTTGAGATGTTAACTTTAATCTATGGTGTAAATGGTACTAGTAAGAGAGATTCATGACTTACAGACCTTTAAGACATTATGTTCTGCCTCCTCCCCTGTAATGACATCGATTTTCTCCAGCAAGCATCTTGGTGTTGGATTGGAAGAAAAAGCAGCAGCTGACTCAATTAGAGATATATTTTTAGTAGAATCTGTTTCTAAGAGGAAAAAAAACCACATAAATGTTCCCATTTTTTTCTACTGAGAAAGTTTTGTAGCCCCTGTTACCATAATGGAGCTCTCGTGGTGTAGCGGTTATGCTTTGGGCTGCTAACTGAAAAGTCAGCAGTTCTAAACCACCAGCTGTTTCTCAGGGAGAAGATGAAGCCTTCTACTCCTGTAAAGAATTACAGTCTTGGAAACCCACATTGGCAGTTCTCAGGGTCACTATGAGTTGGCATTTACTCAATGGCAGTGAGTTTGCTTTGGGCCTGCCTGTTACCGTACATGTCCCTGAGTCGTTTTACAACAAATGACTTCAAATAAATAAATTGCTTGAGCGTAGGTGGTTTTCTGTTACAGGTGTTGTCAAGTTGGTGCCACTCATAGTGACTCCATGTACGACAGAAGGAAACACTGCCCATTCCTGTGCCGTCCTCACAATTGTTATATTTGAGCCCATCGTTCCAGCCACTCTGTCAATCCAGCTCATTGATCATCTTCCTCTTTGTTGATGACCCTCTGTTTATCAAGTCTGATGTTCTTTTCCAAGAACTAGTCTCTTCTGAGAACATCTCCAAAGTACATGAGAGGAAGCCTTGAAATCTTTGCTTCTAAGGAGCATTTAAACTGTATTTCCTCCAGATAGACTTGTTTGTTCTAGAAGTTTACTGTACTTTCAATATTCTTCACCAACCACCACAATTCAAAGACATCAGTTCTTCCATCTTCTGTTTTCAGTTTCCAGTGTTCACATTCAATGTGACTGAAAATACCATGCCTTGATTGAGGCACACTTTAGTCCTCAGAGTAACAGACAGCAGGCTTTTTAGCACTTTTAAGAAATCTTGTGTGGCTGATTTGTCCAATGTAATATAGTAACTGATTACTTGACTGATAATTCCATGGGTGTTGATTGTGTATCTAAGCGAAAGGAAATCCTTGACAAATTCATTTCCCCCCACTTTATCAAGATGTTTGTTGGACTACTTATGAGCCATTTTGTTTTCTTTATGTTAAATTGGTGACAGACAACATAAAAGTGGTTGAAGGGAGACATCAGTCAGTATAATACATGAAAAAATAATAATTTATATAATATCAAGGGTTCATGAGTGAGGGAGGGTAAGGGAGGGAGAGGAGAAAATAAGGAGCTGATACCAAGGGCTCAAGTAGAAAGAAAATGTTTTGAAAATGATGATGGCAACAAATGTACAAATGTGCTTGACACAATGGATGTATGTATGGATTGTATAAGAGCTGTATGAGCCCCCAATAAAATTACAAAACAAACTTTCCTGATTTTAAACCCTGAGGTGTTTGAATGACTGCCTCTTGGCCCCTGCATAGTTTCCCAATGAGCACAATGAAGCATCCTGGAAATCCCACTCTTATCCCTAGTTCCTAGTTTGTTATTATCCACACAGTCATAGGCTTTTGCATAGTCAATAAAATGCAAGTAAAAATGTTACTGGTAGCCTCAGCTTCCATCCAAGGTCCATGTGACTTCAGCAAAGATATCCCTTGTGCTACATGCTATTCTGAATCTGGTGTGTATTTCTGGCCACTGTCAATGTACTGCTGCTACCATTTTTAAATTGTCTTCAGCAAATTTTCCTTGCATCTGATATTAGTGATATTGCTTGATAATTTCCACATTCTGTTGGATGACCTTTCATTGGAGTGCGCCCAAATATGCTTCTCTTCTAATCAGTTGGCCAGCTAACTGTCTTCTAAGTTTCTTGGCACAGACTAGAGAAAACTCCAAACATTGTTTCAGTTTGTTAAGTATGTTAGTTCTGTCCATTTCAGTAGCCTTATTTTCCACTAATTCCTTCAGCGCAGCTTAGACTTCTATTGTAATACCATTGATTCTTAGGCAACTGTTTTCTATTAAAAGGGATGAATGTTGACCAAATCTTCTTGGTACAGTGACATTGTACATTCCTTTCATCTTCTTTTGCTGTGTCTTCTACCATTTTATATTTTGCTGATACCCAAAATCAAACTCCCTGCTAGCTAGTCAATTCCAACTCATAGAGAATCCTATAGGACAGAGGAGAACTGCTTCTTAAAGCTTCAAAGGCTGTAGATCTTTAAAGGAGGAGAAATCCTCATTGCTCTCCTGAGGAATGACTGGATATTTTGAACAGCTGACCTTGCAGTTAGTTGTCTAACTGATAACCCACTACACAGCCAGGGCTCCTTACATTCATTCAATATTGCAAGTTGAGGTTTAAAATATTATTTTCTTTGTAATTATGCTTCCCTCCCCCCCAAAAAACCATTTTAATGGGAATCAATACAGATACAGATCATTCCATAGTTCAATCACATAAAGTAGTATTATACAATTGTTACCACAATCAGTTTTGCAACATTCTTTTCCTTCCAGAACTCCTTGACATCAGCTCCATTTTACCATCATCACCACCACCACTGTACCCCACACCCAGAAGCCCTTATTCTACTTGCTGTCCCTATAGGTTCATCAATCCTGGGTGTCCTATACTGAAAAACAGAATGACATGTAACAAAAATTCAAGAGGGTGACCCCTTATGACATAACACATCCAAGATAAACCCCAATATGAACAAACAAAAAATACAGAAAAGGTTGAAAACCAGATCAGACCTAACGTGCATCAGAGGGGGGAAACAACTGATAAGGTTTTAGCCCTTCAAGTCAGGTTTATCATTTTGATCTCCTGTAGTCATCTTGCCAATGCTCTCTATTTAGTAACCACTTTCCTCCCATCCCTCTGTTATGGATGGAGGGAAATCACTGGAGGCTTATTTCCTTTGCAGATCCTACAAATATATCTTGGGCTCCCACTGTTATCCACAGCTTTCTGCAAACTGGATTCTCACAGTTTAGTCTCTGACACTATTCCCTCCTTCGATTTCGGATGATAGGATATACAGTCACGATGATGGTGTGCTTCTTCCATGTGAACTTAGTTGACATCTCAGATGGCTGCTTGCTTGGAAACGAGAGGCTTAATTTTTTTTCTTCAATTCTTTCAGCTTGAAGTATGCTGAGTGTCTTCTTATCTTTTCATTTTCTCACTCCAGGTTTTTGGACATTTCATTATGACTCTTTATTTTGTCTTCTCAAGATGACGTTTTACATTTTCTATCCAACTCTTTCCCACCACTTGTCTGTCAGTTTGTTATACTCAGGTGGCTTGTGTTGCTGTGCTGCTGGTAGTAATGTAACTGGTATCTCAAATGCCAGCAGGGTCAGCTTTGGCACAGGGACTACCTTGGCTATCAGAAATTGGGATGGACACAAATACAGAGGAGGCACAAATTGACAAGTGTGATATACTGAAGATAAAACGCCTGTGTACATCCAAAGAATTCACCAAGAGAGTAATAAAGAGAGCCCACAAACGGAAAAAAACGTCTTTAGCAATGACACATCAGACAAAGGCTTATTACTAAAATCTACAGTATTCTGCTAGCTTACAATAAGAAATTTCTGTGAACAGAAGTTTCACAAGGGTAGAAATCTGAATGGCCAATAAATATATGAGAAAAAGTTGCCGATCATTAACCATAAGAGAAATGCAAATTAAAACAACTATCAGATACCACCTAACATCCTGAAAGATAGCCCAGTTCAAAATATCAGAAAGTAACAAGTGTTGGAGGGGCTGTGGTGAGATAGGAA